TGAATCTTAGAGTTTTTAAGTAGTTTTAAATTATTATTGTATTGTCTTTGAAAAGCCTCTAAAGGGAAAGTCAATAAAGTATGTATGTATGTATGTAATGAGTATCGTGAAGGAGCAAATGTAGACGGAAATTTGTGGACAGAAGTTTGCAGACGGAACCCCTGCCCCGTTCGGCTCAATAAAAGTCCAAATAAACTTTGATGTTACATAATCAGCTTGTGTAGTTCGATTCATTCTATCACCTTTCAGGCATAGTCATAATGTAAAGTGTTTGATAATTAGCATGCATTGTCCCGCAAGTGCAAATATATGCAGAGACGCTTCTAGAACTTTCTATTATTTACATAAGCATAAAAACTTGTAGGTTTAGCTCGAGATTTTATTCATTATCAGTGTGTGTGTAAGCAATAAAACTTTTGCCATCCGGAGTAGTTAACACAATAAACAAGTACAAAGATTATGAAAAAATGTTTGTATGGTGTAATAAGTAAATTTTAACATCAAGTCAGAGTTTTGCAACCTCTGAAAATTGCAATATGGATTAAGAAACCGCAATGTTCCCATTCATCTAGGGGACCCTAAATGGGTTATTTTAACACACGATACCAGGGAGGGAGTCATCAGGCAGCCATATTGGTTAAACAAATATTTGCTTTTGTTTTAGTAAGTAATCATTGCTTTATTACTATGCTTTTCCTTTAGAACTCTTCAACATAAAATGTACACATCAATCATAGGGGCCAAGACACTGTAGTCTCACCATACCATTTCTTCGAGCTCCAATTTCAAGAATTCTGATGCTCGCTCGAACAAAAACTGCCATACATGTTCAATCTGCCTTAAATCAGCCATACATACCACAGAACAATCTCTTATTAAATGTTGCTTGACATGGCTACCATTCACATAAGATCAACAACAGGCAATGTGATTGGGTTGATAACGACAAAGCTGGTTTGGAAGTTTAAATTATAATGAAAAGGGAAACTATGACTTCATCATCCTCGGCGAGGTGGAGAAATGTTCCAAGAAGAAATAAGATTTTTACACTCACTTTTATATCAATTTATGGACTAGTATTATCTTATCTTAGTGACTTCACGAAAGTAAGCAAAAGAGTTCATACTTGTTACACTCTAATAATAGCCTACTTTTAGAAGTTTCACAGGAATTACAATGTATGCCCAACAGTCATGGCAGTAGGTATTTTACTTTTGCTGCTCTAGCTCTATGGAACAGCCTCCCAGTTTACCTGTGTGTTGTGAGACCACTTAGTGTTTTTAAAAGCAAACTTAAGGTTATTCCCCAGAATTGCATTTCGCATCCCTACTGCGCATAATTTCATGCGTGATTAGCGCGTGCGCAGTAAAAAATGGTGACTTTCTCTTTATAACTGGACCTCACCATGGAGGTAAATCGTCATTTTCTTGCAAAGGAGTATGGTGACCTATCATTTTTTTTCTATTGTTTTGAATTGAGTAATAAATTTCTCTGTGTAAAATAAATATGGACCAATTCTCAGTGTAGAACAAAAAGCAATCATTGGAAACGTGAATTTAGCAAGTAATCGTGACTACAATCATGGTGCTATTATAAGGATTTACATGGGTATAAACAAGGTGCTGTCGCTCCTAAACGAACATGAGGACCCCTCATTTTTATTTCAAAATTTAAGTTCCTATAATATAAACAATCAATAGGCAAAGTTTCACAAAAATCTCAGTGCAGGTTCTATTTCAGTGGAATGACCTTAAGGCATTTTTGTTTGGGTCAGCGTTTTAATGTATATCTTTTTTATTTCCTATTTATAAATAACTTTACTGGTATATATTTTTCTTATTTAGTCTTTGATGAATTTTTTTGTAAGCCACTATTGATCAGTGTATTTAAATAATGTTATAAAAATTATTATTTAACAACATTATCATTTAACTAGATATCCTTAATTAATATTTCACAAAGTATCCAATGCCACCAGAAAATAACCTTAATCAGCCACGTGCTACTTATGATTATTTGGTTACAGAAATATTCCCATGTGGAGACACTCTCTCTTTGGTTTGACATTGATCCATCATCTGTTGTCCACATTGAAAATTCTTCCAGAACTTTGGTGCTACTTTCAAGATCAAAAAACCTTGCCCTTTCTCCATAAATGAAGAAATTGTATGGGAAATAAGGAAGAATTTCCCAATGTAGTGGGTGCAATTAAGACACCACACCACATGAGATCTATCAACCTCTAATTGAACCAGAGCAGCCGTTCTACGGTGGTTATCGGCACTATCACTGTATGAATACTGAACTAGTGATGGACAGTGAAGGACATATCTGCTTTGTTCAGGCTGGATTCCTAGGGAGCACACATGATGTGGTTTCCTTTCGACTGATGGAACCAGAGTATTGGGCTAGGGTGCAATACTGACACCTGTAAGAGCTAACCAGATGCCTTTATTAAATAACAGGGACAGATGGCGAACGTGAAGGTTTAAAATGCTTCTCTCTAAGGGGAGGGTAAAAATAGAACATGTTTTTAAGGAAATGAAAACCTACAAAGCGAAAGGCCAGATTTGGCGGCACCCACGCTGGCTTATAGGTTATGCCTGTGTGTGTGGAGTTAGTTGCTCTTTTATCTGAAAGAAGAGTGAGACTCTTCAAAACAGTCTAGAAGATATGGCAAAATGTATCTTCAACAGTTCTCCACAAATGGGCACACGTTCTATTTACGTACTGAACAGTAGATATTAAGACACAGTAATTTTGAATGCTAAAACAAAATTAGTTCTTGTTTGGGCATGTTTATGGGTGTGCACATAGTAATCATTTATTTCTCAACATTTCCAAGAGGCATCTAGAATGTGAACACAAATTGCATCTAGATCTGTTCAATGAAAAAGAGTTTAAAACCATTGTGTTTATTTGTCTCACATGTGGGAGTTTTATCTTTTTGTACACACTCATTAGCTTTTGAGGATTCTAATTAGCATATAAGAATTGGGGTTTGTGAAATCACTCTAGCGTGTGTGTTTTGGTGACTTTTTACCTATATAAGGACACTTTGTGATGTTTGTCATAAGGAATTTGAATCTCATTAGTGTTCAATCCTGGACATATCTGGATATTTCATGTTTTGTTGTCTGCACTATTGATATTTTTGGACCTCAATAGGCCAATGAGTTAACTTGCTTGAAGATTGCCCTTGGGTGAAGCTAGAGGGTGAGGAAAGCCAAGGTTGACTTGTGGCCATTCTACCTGATAAGTCAAACTCCAGCCTGCCAACTGAAACCTTTTATTTAAGGTTTATGTCTTTTAGGGTTCAGGAAGCAACTATACATGTACATTGTAATATATGGAAGGATATGCAACATCAAATTATTAAGCTGATAAGTTTAATTAATAGACCATTTTACAGTTGTCTGCTCAGTGACCTGGTCTTTGGATGGCAGCAAGGCTGGAGTTGACCTTGTTTTGATACAGACCTCACTGCTTTTGTCATGTAAATGCACCTAGTTAGCATCAGTACAACTTGTTTTAAACCACAAAAGCAGTGAGGTCTGTATCAAAACAAGGTCAACTCCAGCCTCGCTGTCATCCAAAGGCCAGGTCACTGAGCAGACAACTGTAAAATGGTCTATTGAAGATTGGAGCTACATTTTTATGAATCTCTTGCAAAATCCAAATTTTTTGATCACTCAAGTCTCTCTTATAACAAAAAACTACAATGCCAGATTAAACTTGTCTGACACGATTAACAGCGTGATCTTTAATTTCATTTGGCAGGGTAAACTCCCTAAAATTAAGAGAATGACAATAGTTGGTGAAAAAAATAAAGGCAGATTAAAAATGAGCGACTTTGAAGTAATGAACTAAAGTAATGGATTAAAAGAATGTGCCAAAATTCCGACTCCTCCTGGAAAACTCTTATCGAACATTTCTTCAGGGAACACGGCGGTCTTTCTTTCTTATTAAACTGTAGATATGATGTTAAGTTACTAAATTTGAATAATGTACATACAACCCTTCTACCATGCAATAATAAAGTACTGGCAAGAAAACAACCCATTATCTTAGAAGACAATACACACAAGCAAAACAAAATTATCTGGAACAATAAAAACATTTTAATAGACATGATCTATTTAAAACAATGGCATCGAACTGGACTCCTGTACATAAAAATTAATGACCTGCTTGACGAAAATTTTAACTTCCTATCATGTGACAAATTTCAACAAATCTTTCAGCTTCATGTGCCGTTTACAGCCTACTATGGTTTAATAAGCACCATTCCACCAAGCTGGAGATGTACAATCAAACACACTGAAATCGCAATTGAAAATGACAATGTGTCACAAGAACCTCCTCTGTCTAAGAATTTCGCCACCTGTGCTGTCTATGGAGCGATTATAGGCCACTACTCCCAACCCCCAACTGCTGAACCAAAATTACTACAATATGGTTTCTTGAAAGAATGCAAGTTTATAACTTCCCCTTTGTTACCACGCTCGAAACAAAGCTCCAAATTTTTCAACATAAAATTATCCACAACATACTTCCAACTAGGTGTTCCCTTTTCCATATGAAGCTATGCGATTCTGAAATCTGTCAGCTATGCAAAATGCAACCGCAAGCATTGCCTCACTTATTTTACCTCTTCTGTAATTTCCAATTTCTGGTCTGCATTTCAAAATTGGTGGTTTGAAAAACATAAAAACATAATAACTCTTGCTGAACGTAATATCCTTTTTGGTTGGCATAATAACACCACAGAATCAAAAGACATTTTAAACTATGTCACCTTGGTGGCCAAGTATTATGTCTTTTATACTATCCAAGACAGCGATGATGTACCCTTTGACGGCTTTCCTTCTTTACTTAAGAACAAATTAAATACTTCACAACAAATAGCAGTTAAAAATAAACCTCTGACAATTTCAACAAAAAGTGGAAAGACTTTATTTGAGTTTTTTCATTTTACTTACTCAGTTAAGTGATTAGTTAATTTAAATAATTCTTAATTTAGTAATTGTTTCTTTTCTTTTTTTTGCAACGTACCTACTCAAAATGTTGTACTTTGTAATAGTTTGTAATTCTGTTTTTTGGAATTTTTTGTAACACACATCATTACCTTCTGTATTATCTTTTGTATCTCCTATCTCCTATTGTCCTATTGTAGTTCATGTTGATTAATAATACTGATAATAATACAATTAAAAAAAAACACACACTTAAGGGCAAGGGAATTATCCCTGAGCTGATCCACAGAAAGATGAATTATTTATCTGACATAATTACCTAACTTTTAAGCAATGAACTTTCATTCTTTCTTTTTGCAGATTTAAGACATGGCTACCAAACGAAAGACAGGTAAGGCAACCTTGTTAGCCTCTCCTTAGCTATGTATACTGAAGTACAACAGAAGTGTTGACAAGATTTATGACCTTGCCTCCATCATTCCCCTGTCACCAATTCAATGTTGAGTTTCCAACAAAGTTTGAATCTCATGAGGAGTTGAACATTAAAAGGAGGAGGTGTCTGAAATTTAATAATGAGGTTAAAAACATCAAATTATGGTGATGAAATAATTATGTAAAGATGGTTAATTTTAAAGATTAGCATACTTTGTCACAGGAAATGTTCAGATTAAGCCAAAGTTCAAAAGCAAAGTTTCACTGTTATAACTTTTTCATTTTGTAATTAAAAGTTATCTAGATTTTTTTTATTTTGTAGGTTATCTAAACTTATTTATCTATGGACCTGTAACTGCACAAAAAAATATAGTCGCATTGAATTTTATGTTTTGTTAAAAATTATGTATTTTAGTATTGGTCAGTGTGAAATGCAGACTCCAGACTGCAGACTGTGCAGACCAGGGGTAATATGCCCGGGGGTGGGGGAAAAATTTCAAGTCACGCCCACAAAGCAAGATGTTGGTACCTCTTAGGGGTTCTTTTCAAACTTTCCGACGAGCACCCCTGTCCTTTTTATGTTGGAGTTCCTCCCCCACCCCCCTCCCTCCCGCCCAGGGTAACAGGCAGACTGAGGGTAAAATGCAGACTGCAGACTGTAGACTTTTACATTTCCATCATTGAGAGCTAATCGTAAACAGGTTAACTGGAGCATTATTTAGGCTAACTGCAGTGATATTCAGGCTACCTGGAGTGCAGACTTTCACTATAATTATGGTCAGCGCTCGATAATGGAAGTAACGCAATAGACCAATTTCAAGATCATATTAAAATTCAGCCTAAAACCTCAGCACAAGGCTCTGGGGAATAACTAAAGAGTTTGTGGGGTTTATTACCCAGAGCCTCGCATGGAGGTCTATTGTTTTAGGCTGGATTTTAATGTATCGAAATTGGTCTATTTTATTGCAGCTCAGATATAAATGTAAGCAAACTGCACGTACGCAATTTATATGCGTCTATTTTGTGTATACACGTATGTCCATACACGTGTATATGTGCGTATGAACCACTGTTAGACAAACAAAGGACATTTCTGGGAATGAATAAGCGTCAGGCTTTAACATGAAATTTGCATATTGTGAAAATGTCAATGAAAGCTATCATATTTCCAATTTTCGATGGCTTCGCAAATTCACTGACTGTTTATTAACACTTGCTTAATCTTTAGCTGCCAAACAATTGGGAAGAAAAATGAAACAGTCACTTGAACTCCTTATTTTAACTCATGTTTTTTCATTTACCAAATAATGTTTACTTTGCAGTTTATGGCTGTGAACAACTCACCAGCTGGGCATTAAGAATTATTTTGTAAATCTCAATTAGTCGTCACATTTTTTAAGCAAAATAACTGTCTTTAACTTAACATTAATTCCCAGTTAATTTTGAGAATAGGATTGAAACTCTGTCTGAAACTTTTTTATTTCAAGTTGGTTTTGATTATGCGAATGGCAGTTGAGTTCCCCTGGCTTCATACATTTTGGACGTGATGGAATGCTCATATTAGCAACCCAAATAAAACAAAAACAACATTCTCCAGCAAAAGCAGGTTTGCTTTGTTGCAATCTGTCAAGCCATTGAAAACAACAGTGACCTGTTAAGAAAAGAAGAAACAAGTTGAACACAAAATGTATGTCAGCGCATACATACTAAGATCGCACAACTGCGTGATTTTGTTTGCACTACGTAAAAAACTCGATAAGCCACTGGGACACGGTACTTTGAAACACTGTATCCAGGTACTTGATACTGATAATTTTAAGCAATTCTATGCCAAAGTTACAAAAGACATTTTTATTAAACAAGTAGACTTTGATGCAATGTGTCTTCAAATGCAAAGCAAGAATGTGACAGCTATTTTAAATTTTATTAGAATTATAGAATTATTTTATTAGAATTTTAAATTATTAGAATTGTAGAATTATATTATTGTTATTGTTATTATTATTACTGTACATAGTTCTGTTTTTAGTGTAAACACAACCCCAAAAGCAAACCTATTACTTTAAACTAAATCGTGTGTAAATAATGGGTTGTTGTTGTTGTTGTTGAGGCATATACACTTGTGTCTATGTACGTATGCATATACACGTTTGCGACTGACGTGAATTATCTCGATCAAATATGTATCAAGGAAATTTATTCTTCATGTAATATGTGGCTTTTTGAAAGCTGCTCTCGCGACCTGACATGGTCAGTTTCTTGAAACTCTTTTACTTTCCTGTTGGTTAAATCTAGGATCATGCAATCAGACTGAGTGTAATTAAACATTTATTTAGTAAGAGATTTTTAATAAGAAACTTTATTTATATGTACACTAGCTGACGAAATATGCATGTGAAATTAAAATTAAACATGAATGGATGATTGTACAAAATAATGAGCTAAAAGCTCACTCTGAACTGGAAATATAATGTTAATTTTATAGCAATTTCAGATGTATACATTATTTTGTAAGAAACCAATAAAAAGCAATCCACGACCATAGCTGGTCGTATATTATAAATAATATTAATATTAAATTAATAGACCACTCATTAATTATGAGGATAGATCTGTTTATTTACGTTCTGTAAATAAATGTTCTTAGTTTTTAAATGAAATCTGTGTGGGCAGCAAGCCTAAATTCCTGTTGTAAAAGAATGAGTGGAAAATTTAATTTTTTTTACAAAATAATAA